GGATTGAACCTAGGGATTCTCTACCACTGAGCTGTATCCCCAGGCCTTTAAAAAAAAAAAAAGAAAAGTTTTATTTTAAGACATGGTCTCAGTTGCCCAAGCCAGCCCTGAACTTGAGATCCTCCTGCCTAAGTTCCCGAGTCTCTGGGATCACAGGTGTGCCACCGTGCCCTGTGCAGCATCCCTTGGGGCTGTTTGTACTGGCTTGTTGGTTGCCCCACGGTGTCCACGTGGAAATCCAGGGTCTGGAGGGAGTGGGAAATGCAGGGTACGTATGGGGTCTCCCAGCCCCTCGCTGTGTCCTCGCTGAAAGTTGGAGCACCTTGAACCTCCCCTGGCTGCAGACACAGGCAGAGGACCCCTTTTCTTGCTATCTCCAGGATGAGCTGCAGCACTGAGTTCTGCCAAATGTGCTTTGGACAGATAACCCTGGTGTTCAGTGCTGCTTTGGCTTCTCAACTAGTGCCATCTTGGGAGGCTTTGGGGCAGTCCCCTTTGGGGCTTCCTCTAGTACAGGACAAAATCACAGCTGTTCTGGTTCTGGGTCTTAGGTGATGCTTGAACCCTCCTCTCTGCTGGCCCCTCCCTCCTGGCATCCAAGAGGTGCACTTCTGTTCCCGTGCCTGTGGAGGGGCTGTGTGGGGTCTCCCAGCCACGGCCAGATGCAGCCAAGTCTGAATTCGTGTCCTTAACCCTGGCAGAGAGGAGTCCCCTGAACTAAATGTGTGCAAAGCCTGGGTAGGGGACAAAAGCAGACACCAGAGGGGCGGCCGTGGTCGTCCAGGAAGCACGGCTCAGACTGCACAGCTCAGGGAGCTCATCTCACCACCTTCCTTTTCCAACTTGCCCTTCTCTCCCAGCATCTCTGGGGAGCGAGGGCTGGACATACCTCAGTCCAGGGCAGATGTTCCACTGAAGAGGTGAAGGTCAGAGAGGAGCTTCTGAGGCCACCTACTCCCACAGGTTGGGTTGGTCTCTCTGTGTGAAGGGAAAACCTGAGTTTGGTTCAGTACCCTGTTTAAAAACTCACGTGGGGCTGTGTTCTCCACACTGATTTCCTCCAGCAGTCAATTCTGTCAGAAAGGTCTTGAAGTCAATGCTGCGTCCAGCAGTCATGCCGTCCTTTGCTGAGTACTGAGGACCCACAGCTGTCCTTTGTGGGCGGTCCTCAATGGTTGGGGGGCAGCTTGAGCCATTGGAATGTGCACTGCTGTGACACTCGAGGTGCCTGGACCCAGAACAGCTTGAGACCAGAGACCCTCAAGCCCCAGGGCAAGAACCCTTCCTATGAAGAACAGCTAGGGTGAACCCTCTCCATCCTCACCCACCTCACAGGACACCCCAGTGAACAACTTTGGGAGCTAATGGTTTTGTAAATCTGGCCACTGTTCACAGACACCTCTTTCATTTCCAAGGTCTGTAGAGGAGCATGTATCAGTTTGACACCATGGCAGGAGGATACAAGTTTGAGGCCAGCCTTGGCAACTTAGCCAGACCCTGTGGTGGTTTTTTTTTTGTTTTGTTTTGTTTTTTTTTTAGTTGTAGATGGACACAATATCTTAATTTTATTTATTTTTTATGTGGTGTTGAGGCTCAAACCTAGTGCTTCACACATGCTAGGCAAGCACTCTACCACTAAGCCACAACCCCAGCCCCAAGACCCTGTCTTAATGGTTTTTTTTTTGTTTTGTTTTGATTTGATTTGATTTCTGTGTCTGTGGTGCTGGGGATTGAACCCAGGGCCTTGTGCATGTGAGGCAAGCATTCTATCAACTGAGCTATATCCCCAGCCCTGTCTTAATGTTTTTGTAAAAGGGCTGGGCTGGGGCTCAATCCCCAGGGCAGGGGTATGTGCTGGGTGGGAGAAGGAAGTTCACTGCCAAAAGCAGCCTGACCCACAAGTCCAGGTTTGGTCCCCATGCCCTGAGTCTCTTCTGCTCTGTAGTACCATCCCCAGGAATCTGTGAGAGGTAGGAAAGGAAGGTTCCCCGTCCACGCTACTTGTCAGCACTGAGGCCTGAAGCCCTGGCTCACCTGGGCTTCTCACACTGGCCTTTGAGTGGAGATGAGGGCGTGCCTGCCTGGGAGGTCTCAAGTTAAGGAAAACGTGGAGGGTGGGGCTTCAGAGCTGGACCCGGAGTGATTGTAGGAGGCCAGTGGGACTTGGCAGGTCCAAGAGGTACTGGCCAGCCAAAGCAGTGGCAGGAAAAAGCAAAACAGGGGCTGCCAGGAGTGCAGAGCCAGTAGGAGCAGCAGCTGTGGGGAACTGGCTAGAAATTGCTCACACGTGGGCACATCCCAGCCCCGAGTGACAAGTTCTGGGGGTGGGGCCAGTCATTTTTCCTTTATGTTTTTGAGACAGAAACCTGCTTTGTTGTTCCAAGTGGTCTGGAACTCTAGGGCTGCAATCATCCTGTCTAGCCTCCACAACAGCTGGGGTTAAGGGGATGTGCCACCACGCCTGCCTGCTTCCTGGAGGCTTTGCGTGCACAGGAGGGTAGGCAGTAATCTCTTTAGCCAGCTCTGGAGGAGGTGCTGGCACACACCTGGGGCCGAGGCCCACAAAGCTACAATGGGCCCCTCAAAGGACCTGGTGGGACCCCCCACATTCAGCAGTTCACTGTCACCCTCTGTGAGCTAAACAGTGGGTGGCTCATTTCTTTTTTAGAGAGAATTTTTTAATATTTATTTTTTAGTTTTCGGCGGACACATCTTTATTGGTATGTGGTGCTGAAGGTCGAACCCAGCGCCACATGCATGCCAGGTGAGCGCGCTACCACTTGAGCCACATCCCCAGCCCTGGGTGGCTCATTCTTAATAGAGAGCAACCAGCACCTCCATCAGGTTTCAAGGACACACCTCCGACCCACCATGATGATGAACTGTGGCCTCAGCGCCTGCATTGTTGCCCTTTGACAGGAAAAAGCAGGAGAGTGGGGAGTACAGGCTCCTTCCAAGCTGGCAATGCCTCTAAGTAACCTGCCCTGGCTCTGCTACAGCATCCACGAAATCAATTCTGACCCTAACAATGACTGCTGCAGTGCTAGGCCCTGTGGAGTGGGGCTCTGCTGTGGCGTTTCACAACTGCACACTCAGGTCGCTCCAGGGGAACTGGGCTGCACCACATAACCACAGAGACAGAAATACTTTTTTCTTTGGGTCCTGTGACAGCTCCTCTGACCTTAGGGGTCCGTGGAAAGACAGAGAGGGCGGGGGCGGGGGAGAGCGAGAGTGTGCCAGAGCAAGTAGAACGAGCACTTACTGAACCCTTTTATTGGGAAGAAGCCATTCAAATGAGGCAAGGGCCAGGATTCCAAGGGAACTGGTGAGTGTAGCTCAATCCCTCTGGGTGCCGCCTACTCCCAGGGCCACTCCCGGGGCCACACTTTATTATCTGAGCCAGGGAAAAGACCGAATCCCCAGTCATGGCACTACCCCGCCAGACTGCTGTGATCTTTCCTATCCCCATGGACTTAATTTGGCGTGCATTTGGAGTGGCTCCCCACACTTGGCCAGCCTGAAACTCAGCACTAGCCAGGAGCACAGGCTGCTGAAACACAGGACGCCTCTTCTGCCTGAGGAGCTCTTCAGCGATGGCCCTCCTGCCCAGCCAAAGGAGCATCCTCTGACTTAAGGGACTACAGATTAAAACCAGAGGTGCTCCACCAGAGATACACCCTCAGCCCTTTTGAGAATTCTGACATAGGGCTTTGCTAAGTTGCCCAGGCTGGCCTCAAACCTGCTATCCCCTACCTCACCCTCCCAAGTAGCTGGGACTGCAGGCGTGCATCACCACACATTTAAGAAACACCACACCTTTAAAGAAGCATTTAAGATGATATGACAACGTGAGCAAGATATGAAGCAGGAGCTTCAAGCTTGGTGACCTGGAGGCTTCACACGACCCATCTGAGTAACAGGTAGCAACCTGGCCTCTCTGGCCCACATTCTCATGCTCTATGGCAGAAATGAGGCAAAAGCCCTACTTCTTTTCAGTGATACCTCACAACTCAGGCCACGCTCATCTGCTCAGAAGATTCTTATACTGGTGGGGGGATGTAGAGTGGCCGCAGTTTCACTGCCCTCTACCAACAGGTGGGCTGGTTGATTACTGGCCAAGGTGACAGTCCCCCTATGCTAGACCATTAGCTGTCAGAGCACACAGGTCCTGTGGGGACTATTCATGAGCTCCTTGGCCGACCTCCTGGCCCCAGCCTATTTCTGAAATGCTGCTGCAAAACCCATGTTGAGCCTAAGTGAGAGCTATGGGTTGGTACCGTGAGGGTCTGGAAGGACTGAGGGGCCTCTGGCTACAGGGGCTGCCTGGGGGAGGCCAGAACTCACCACTAGTGCTCCCACCACATCGGGGATCCTCACACCCTCGGCTAAAGAACGGACAAATTTCACTTTGAAGCGATTCCTCTAATACTTGGTGATTTTAACTAGGCTTTGCCTAAGTCCTGTGAACCTGAGGGACCTCTGAGAGCCCAACTTGGACTCCATTAGTTTTTGATGCTATAAGGAAATACCTCAGGCAGACTACTTAAGAAGAGGTTCATTCATAAAACTGGAGATTTTAAGGGCACGATACTGGCACCAGCTCAGTATGGTGAGGTCCTCTGGGAAGTGTCACATGGCAGATGAAAATGTAGCTATCTTCTGCCAGGACCTGCCATCATGGCCCACAGCATGAAAACCCAAAGTATGGCCCTGAATACTTTAAGGACCAGATCTCACCAAGTTGTGAGGTTGGTCTCAAATTTGTGATCCTCTTGCCTCTGCCTTCTGAGTCACTGAGATTACCATACCTGGCTCATAGCCCTTCATTTGAATAATGATCTCTCTCCAACAGAGTGAACAACTGGAATTGTGCAGAGGCTGAGGCCCCCATCTGTTCCCATGGCTTTACCAAGGAGGAGACAGCAGGTCCCTGGGTTCCTTCTGTGGCTACAGGGGCTTGAAGAATTAGCAGACAGAGCCATTTTTATAAAACTCACAACCTCACTCAGAATGAGTTTTATTCAATTATTGTAGGTAGAGTGGTTGACCCCAAAGGTATGGCCAGGCCATAGACCCAGAACAAGCAAACATGACCTTATTTGGAAAAAGGTTCTTTGCAGGTGGCTTACGTATCATCCCAGATTTCCAATTACAGACATCGTAAAGAAGAGAGAACACTGACCCAGGAGAGGAAGACAGAGGGGGAGTCCACAACCAACCCACAGAAGGCCAAGGACTGCAGCAGTACTAGAGAAAAGAGGAAAGGAATGGACACTGCCCTCAGCACTTCAGAAGGAACCAACCCAGTTGACACCTTTACTTTGGACTTGTGGCCTCCGAACTGTGAGAACAAATTTCTATGGCTTAAGCTCCCCTAGTTGGTAGTCATTTGTTTTAAGAAGCCTCAGAACACACGGACACACCAATCAGCACAGTAAGCATTCTCCCACAAGCTGGCTTGGCTGAGGTGACAGGCCCCGGCAGGACACCAAGACCCCAGGCCTCCATCCCCTCCTTGCCTCCTGCATAGGAAAGAACCTATGCATGCTCTGGGCACCTCAGAGCAATAGCCACTTGCTGAACAAGTGAACCAAGCTCGTTTCTGACTTGGGCTCACTTCATCCACCATGCCATGAGGTCTTAAGGGACAGGGTCGGGGGTGAGAAACTAGAAGCCTGGAGCTTCTACTGCAGACAAGAGTCTAGGTCTCAGTGGCACTATGCAGTCCAAATACCCTGGGGCAAGCAGATTTCCTGGTGGCAGGAAAATGTGTCACAGCACCATCCAGGACAGCAGCAGGGCAGTCCTCTTCTCCCAGCCGTGGACACAGTCTTTTCTTCCAGTCGTCAAGAGCTTCTAGTTTCGTGTGCCTCAGCTGACCCACTGCTGCATCTCCACACAGAGCCCTATCGTGCGAGGCTCCTTGTTGAACCCATAAGAACATTCCAGTGGAGGCCCAACAATGCCATCCTCTGCCTCCGGCACAGTTCTCCACCCTGTGGTCACCGGCTGCTTCGGTGCTCATCCTGGAGCCAGTGCAACACCTTGGCCAACCCAGTGCCTTTCCGGGCGCTGATTTCCAACGTGGTAATGTTCTGCTTGGCACAAGCAATGATGTCTGGGAGCCTGATTAATGACTTAATCTCCTCAATGGTCATGTAACAGGGAAGGTCGCTGTAGTTAAAGAATTGCCTTGTTAGAATGATGGCTGCCAAAAACCTGCCTGTCCCCCAGGTGCACCTCTTCACCAACAAACATGCACTAAGGCAGCTCCTCCATAGGACCCGCACCATGTTCCCTCTCAGCAAGTAAACCCGTACATCTTATTGAAGAGTATCAGGACTGATGCTTCTGCAAGTTGTTCTGAAGAAAGGAGACCCAAGAGCTGTACACAGGATGCAGAGAGTTGGGTGGGGTTGGAAGCATCCATCATGAACTGGGGAAGATGAAAAGCATCAGTCACACCCTGCTTTGAAGACATTTGTGGCCACACCTCCTCATCTGGGAATTACAGGCATACATAGCGCACCACCACTTTTCTCCCCAGTACTGGGGATTGGTCCCAGGGCCTCAACTGTACTAGGCAAGTGCTCTACCACTGTGCCACATCCCATCCACCACAGTGGCTTTTAAACAGAGGGCTTTGGGAATAGGCAGAAGCAGAGGAAAATGAGCTGTAAGACAGATAACTGGATGTCATTCATTTCTGGTTTTGTCTACATGGAAATCTGTATTGATGGGGTCATCAGTTCCCTATCCTGGAATTTAGGGCACAGGCCTTGTCAGGATGGGACCAACCAGAGAAGTGTAGAAATCAGATGTAAATGTAGAACACAGCCAGGGACAGAAAAGAGAATAGACTCGGCCTCAGCAAGCCCATCCTGTGCTCTAATGTCAGTTTTGGGGCACAAACACCAGAGAGAAGATTGGTGCCCTGCTTCCTTGACTAGCACAGCCGCCTGAGAACCCAAATCCTATTCCATGCCAAGTGGGGTCAGGGACCGGAGGGCTCTAAAGAAGTTTAAAGCATGCTGACCCACCAGCAATGAATGGCAGTTTCCGTAGTAACTGGACCAGATGGGGCCCATGCACCCCCCAAGCTCCCGGATGGTAATCTTTCTCTGGGCCACGATGTCAGTAAGGTTGGTACCCACCTGTAGGGAAAACCATCACACACAGTAATGCAGGCGCCGTCCTGCGTGAAACCCCGATAGCAGTGCGCCAGCGTTACCCGCAGGCTCGAGGCAGAGCCAGCCACCAAACTGGGAGAAGGCACTTCTGAGGACCCAGAGCCCACAAGGGGGGTCCGCGCAGGTGGCGATGGCGACAGTGGTCCCTCCGGAGGGGGGAGGAAACGTGCCCGCCCCAAGGAGGGCCCCGACAGGCTCCGCTCGTCGAGTGGGGAATCCCGAAGGCTGTCGCCAACACCGACCGCGACTTCACTCTGCGGGGCCGGTGGGCTTCGTCAGTCGCAAAGGTGACTCCTGCGGCGGCCGACACCTACCGTGGGCAGCGTAGGCGGGGGCTCCCCCAGGTCGCCCTTACAGTCGCGGGAGCTCAGCTGTGCGTGTGGTCAAGGAGAGGGCGGCGCAGGGCAGAGTCGCGGCGCAGGGCGGAGTCCCGGCTCCGGGCTACGCGAAGCCCCCGCCCACCCCCACGGCGCGGAAGGATATTCTGCAGGCGTTTCACCAGCAGCGTCTTCCCGACGCCCGCGGCCCCCAGCAGCAGACACATCCAGACCCTGAGCCAGGCAACCGCGGCTCCGCACCGGACGGCGCCGGGCCCGCCTCCGTCCCGCTCCCATTGGATAGGCCTCGCCTGCGGGCTGATCATTGGTTCTCGGGTTCGCCGCCGCCGCCGCCGCGGCGAACGCGGCCCAATCAGCGCCCAGCGTCAGCGGCCCCCGGAAGGCCTTGCCTCCTCGCGGCTCCCGGGAGCGTGCGGCGACGTGCGGGTGCGCGCGCCGGAGCAGGAAGGCGGAAGCGGAAGTGGGGGCGCGCCAGCTTGCGGAGGGGGAGCGCCCGCGGCGTCGGTCCAGAGCGGGGTCGCCATGGGGCGAGGCAGCGGCACCTTCGAGCGTCTCCTAGGTAACGCGCCCGCCCTGCGCGGCCCCCAGGACCCGAGGGCAGCGCCCGGCTGCCCTCCCATGGCTCCTGGCTGCGGGCTTCGGGTGTGGCCGGGCGCGTCCCTGGGCTCCAGCGAGCGCGGCGCCGCGAGGGTGGGCGCGGGGCCTGCCTTGGGTCCCCTTTCGCCAGCGCGGGGCCGACCGGGCCGAGTCTGAGTCTCGAAGTGGGTGACGGAGCCAGACCTCACGCGGGGCCTGTGACCGCATGTCGGCCCCAAGGGTGGAGCCGGTGGTGTCCTCCCGGAACCTTTCCAGGCCCGTTTGTCCGCCCGGCCCTGAAAGCGTCCCTGGGTTCAGAAGGCCTTTCCGCCCCGGTGGAGGCGCCAGCTGAGCCATCCGAGCCTCCTGGAGAGAGCCAGCTTCAGAAGGGAATGTGTTTAATGTGCGTGGTTCTTTCTCCTGGTGAAAACGCTCTGTTTCTGGGGACAGGCGCCCGGGTGCTGTCACGATCGGCTCCAGGCTGCCTCCTTCTGAAGCGTGCTTTTGGCAGAGACCTCAGATGGAACATTCCTTGCCCGTAGGACAGGCAGGCCCGGCATCACATGCTCATGGGATGGTTCAGCGCTTCAAGGTTGGAATCAGAAGCTTGCTGAATCAGTCCCCAAGTGGACCCCTCTGTGCTGGGGAAGGTGATGCGGTAGTTGAGTGGTAGCTCCTCAGAGAGCCTTTGTCCGAGGCCACGCGGATGTGGAGAGAAGAGTGTCAGCTGTAGAGTCCTCTGGAGTCAGTTGTGCCTTCCTCAGAGCCCTTGTAGAGGACTGGAGTTCATGTTACAAGCCTCCCCATGGCTTGTTCAGCTAATATCTAGTTGAAGGGTTAAAATATCTGAATGACAGGGATTCTGAAGGACTAAGTGAGTCTTCTGAGAAGCAGCAGAGCTTTGCATTTCAGAATGAATCCTTGCTGTGTGTGTGGCAAGCTATACCCCCTGCCTGCTTGGTTTTCTCTGTCTGCAGGGACATAGAAGTGCCTAGCTCAGGGGGTTGTGTGGGAATTGGTTGAATCGAGTGTTTGAAATGGCACCTAATGTGTAACAAGCATGTCACAGCGTTCCATTTGCATCTTGTTTGGGAAGGATGGTCCTTCCATGGTGTGCTCTGGAAGGATTTTCATGTGGTTTTCTATTCAGTCCAGATGTGTAAAAGGGAAGAGGCAAGTTCTCTTTTCCTTTTTGCTGAGCCTAAGGGCTGCCTAGGGAATCACAGACCAAATCCTGAATGACATCTCTTTCCCTCAGACAAAGCCACCAGCCAGCTCCTACTGGAGACCGACTGGGAGTCCATCCTACAGATCTGTGACCTGATCCGTCAGGGGGACACACAGTAAGTGATAAGAGTCTGTCCTGTAAAACGGGTGCAGCCCTGCACAATCCTGAGTACCCACTGATCCTCCAGGATTCAGCTGACCACATGAGACCTCATGTGGGCAATCACATGGTCCACATGCTGGGAGTTCTGATGTTTTTGAACAATTAGGGGATTTTCCATGCAACGTAGGGATACTTGGTTGTGTTAATGTTTGCTTAGAGTTTCTGGGGACCAAACCAGTAGGCAGATATCCCCAACTTTCTTGCTGAAAGTGTTTCCCCCCCGCCTCTCTGTTGCTACCTATGGTCTTTTTCTTTCAGAGCAAAATATGCTGTAAATTCCATCAAGAAGAAAGTCAATGATAAAAATCCACATGTAGCCTTGTATGCCCTGGAGGTAACTAGACCCTTGCTGCTATTCTCTGGCCTTCAGCCTTGAGGGTCCCCACCCCCAGCATCAGGCAGCCTTGTCTCCTTTCTGGGCACACAGCAACAGGTGAAGTCCTTTCTAGCCTTGAGTGCAGTTGTGTGCAGTGTCACTGAGCTTGGTCACCCTGAGGGGTGACAGGGGAAGAAATGATGCCACTGGTACTCTGGCTGTAGTTGGTACATGAGCCCTGAGGGTCAGCTCTCAATTTCAGTTCGTGGCTGCAAGCCATGATATTGTAGGGGTCATGGTATGTGGGTTTGCTGCCTGTCTGTGAAGCTGCCACTTAAGGTTCCTGGCAGGCTGGGTGGTCTGAGAGGCCTTTTGGAGGCCTGCATTCCCATGGGGAGGTGGGTACATCCAGGAAGAGGAGGGGACACTGCCTTGATCGTTGGCCTGACCTTTCCTTTTCTTGGGGTCTGCAGGTCATGGAATCTGTGGTAAAGAACTGTGGCCAGACAGTTCATGACGAGGTAGCTAACAAGCAGACCATGGAAGAGTTGAAGGAGCTGCTGAAGGTAGGCGTCCCCAGGAACCATGAGTCAGGGTTGGGGGCAGGTCACTCCACTTTTCCTGGTGCTTACTGGGCATCTATGACAGGAACAGTACTGGGTGCAGCAGCAGGTGTGAAGCGAGCAGTGGCGGTCCCAGTACTGCTCGCACTTAGGCTCAGACCTGGGAAGACACAGGCTCTGGATTGAAGTCCAGTTGTGTCCGGAGCACAGGGCTGACTCCTGGTTTTCTTGAGGTGCCAGGGGAGGCCTGCCAGAGCCAGGGCTTGGGGCTGAGTCTTGAATGGCAGCGATGGTGGTGGTGCTTTGTATGAGCAGAAGCCTGGAGAGGAGGCTTGGGACGGCAGCCATGTGGAGATGGGGAGATCTGAGCAGGGGACACAGGTGTGTAGCTGTGTCTAGGGGAGAATCAGAAGGGCAGACAGCAGTGGAAGGAGCTCCTTGGAGAGGGTGGGTTTCATACCCCCCTTTGGGAGAGAAGGGAAAGTTTTTCAGACCCCTGGGAGGTTGTCCCCAGGCCCACCTGTAGGGATTGTGATGTGGATAGTGATGCAGAGTGGGGGTGATGTGGCTGTTGTTTGAGGTGAAAGGACATCCCACCAAGGTAAGGCTGCTCTTCCTCTGCTGTGACCCAGGGCCTGGCCTTGTCTCATAGGAGACCCCATCCTGGACCCATGCTTCCCAGAGCTCACCTGCATGTCCAAGCTGACAGCTGGGCTTTTGTGAGGCCGTTACTGTACCTTGGCCAGTTTCTTATGTGGTCCTGGTTGGAGGAGGGGAGGTGTCCTCATGTGGCTGCTGTGTTCTGTTTGTACTGTGGGGGTCCTCTGCTGGTCTGCCCCTCTACTGGGGAGTCAGGGTGGTGATGGGGAGGGAGTGGCTGCTGGAGGACCAGGTTGTGGAGAGATACTTGAGTCCCAGTGTGGATACTGTCACTGTGTCTCCTGGAAGCAGCTTTCTACCCTTTGTCCTCAGTGTCAGATGTCACAGCCTCCCTGAGAGAGCACCAGACTTGAGGCCTGGCTGTGTGCTCACTGAGTGGAGATGGTGTCTCTCTACTGTGTGTGGAGAAGTTTCCTGGGCAATGCCTGCTGCATTTCCCAGGCTGTTACTGGAAGCAAAAGCAGCCTCTATCCTTGGTCCTGAGGCAGTACTTCGTGGCTGGGCCTAGTTGACTCTAGCTGTTTGAGACTGTTAGGAGCCAGCGACTTCCATGGCTAGTCTGGGTCTGTGGGGAGAGGGAAGGAGACATTCAGCTATAGGCTCTCAGACTTGGGGCATTTTAGCTCCAGGGAGTCCCTTGGCTCCTTATAGGGTTTAAAGAGTCATGGCCTGAGCAAGTGTTTGCTCAGGGAACCTGGGCACAGGATGGTGCCTGTCCTGTACATCTCACCCAGACACCCCGCCACCTCTATGCCAGTCCTGTCTGCTCAGGGCAGCTACCTCCTCTCGCTGAGACCTGTGGCAGCGCGAATATCCTAAGACCTTCTCCACTCCTCCCTGCCTTACAGAGGCAAGTGGAAGTGAATGTCCGCAACAAGATCCTGTACCTGATCCAAGCCTGGGCCCATGCCTTCCGGAACGAGCCCAAGTACAAAGTGGTCCAGGACACCTACCAGATCATGAAGGTGGAGGGTGAGTTGGGGCAGGGGGATGGGATCCTGTCTAAGGCGGAAACATTGCTCCAGAAGCCACAGGGCTACCCTCCTGGGCAGAGTCAAACCAGCTGGACCCATAGATGCAGGGCAAAAGAGGATAGGCCAGTCCTCACTGAGTGGCTGACATTGGAAGCAAGGAGGATGGTGTTCTGGGAACTCCACAGAGAGCCCCCGTGGAGGGAGAGTGGGCTTCCACAAGCTCCTGCCTTCTGGACATACCACCCCAGGATAAAAAGACAACTGCATTTTGGGAAGTGATGTGTCCTGGGGGGCAGTGCTGGATGAGTGGCCAAGGAAGACCTTGTAGGCGGCTGCCCTAGGTGCCGAGACTGGGCATAATAGGGAAACAAAAACTGTTGGCTTCTGAGGCCCTGGGGTCACAGCTCACTTGGCTACTGAAGGATAGAAAGGTGACACATACCCAGAGGAGAGCTAGGCCAGGATTGGTCATGGCCCTGTGTATGGCAGCAAGTCACTGGTGGGGTTCAGGTTGGGCTGTGGCTGCTGAGGTGTGTCAGGGCCCCTCGGCTCCATCGCTCTGGCTGTTGTGGCCCTGGAGAGCGGGGCAGTGGTTTGAGAATACATGTAGAGGTGTTAGCTGGGCTCAGGGTTCTGAGGGCTTTGGGCGTCTTCTGGTGGTTTTGTCTGAAGAAACGGATGTCAGGAGTCAGAAAGCAGCTAAATCAGGGTGGGACCTGAAGGTGACTGCAGTCTCCTTTCTCAGGACACGTTTTCCCGGAATTCAAGGAAAGTGATGCCATGTTTGCTGCGGAGAGAGTGAGTC